GTGGTACAATCCTAGTACTATATTTTTTATTCAACTATGGAATTCCTGCCCACAGACTGTATGGTAGTCTTCCTTTCAGATAAGATTTTTATGCTGTTGTTGTCTGTACTATACTGTCCTTAACATACACTGCCACTCCTCTACCTGAACATCCCACTTTCATTCCTATTTAGTTTGCATCCTGTTATCACAATACCCCATTGATTATCACCCTTCCACCAAGTCAGTGCAATTTTTGGGAAAAAGATTAGCACTTAAAGAAAATGTTCCAAAAACCTGATTTCTCTCTCACGTATTGTCTTCCTTGTTTTAGGTATGAGTAATTCTGATGTCATGGTGGCTCTTCAACGTGGGTACCGGATGCCACGTATGGATAACTGTCCAGCTGAGCTCTACGATGTCATGAAAACATGCTGGAAAGATAAAGCAGAAGAGAGGCCAACATTTGATTATTTACAAAGTGTCCTGGATGACTTCTACACAGCAACAGAAGGGCAGTATCAACAACAGCCATAGGACATTTTTCTAGTTGGCATAGACTGCTGTTTGGACTAATGGATCAGGCCAATTATTTCATACACTTGGATATATTAAGTCTGGCTCCTGAAACTGAAGGCTGTAATTCCACAAGAAAAACCATTTTACAGAGAAATAACCATATTTTTCTATGGTTAATTGAAATGTTAATCACTCTGAAGTTCTCTTTAGTTGCACTGTCTGTATTTACCTTTCTTAATAAAGCATCCAAACAAGACAAACTTTGGAAAAATTCCCACCAAATAAGAAGTTTACCACGCATGCAGTTGGAAACAGCATTTGGTGAATCTAATTGATGAGACACCCTATAGGAATAATATGAAGGATGAAGGCAAATAGGTTTTTATGAAAGGAAGAATTTGAGAAATCAGGATTTCTTTTGCTCCCTTTGAAATATAGTATGTTGTGAAAACTTATTTTTATATCCTTTGGTTATTTCACATGAGTAGCTGGAGTATTCTCTGGTTGTTAGACATTTTCTAGGATGTAATCATCACCTTTAAAAAAAAAAGTCAAATGTAATTCTTTATACTTAAATTAATTGGTTGACACCTCTTGCTATTACATTTTGAAAAGCATCTTAATTTCCATCAAATGAGACACACCTGTGATATTGTAAAATTGCACTATAACAGTGTATTGTGCTCAATCTGCCAGAAAAGGCAGCACACTGTTTTGAATTAATAGAGACACTTTTGTGCATGGAACTATCTGCTCAAACTATCTTTTTCCATCCTGGATGTGTTCTTGTAACTGAAAGCAAAGACAATTTTCTCTGGTTTTTGAAATAACAATATCTGGTAACTATGCATGTCATAAACATGGCTTCATTAGTATCTTAGTAGCATTTTATTAAAGTTATAGAGTAGTATGCCTAGCCTTTTTGCCACTGCAGCTAATTGAACTGAAACCCATTTTAAAAATAATTACCCCAAATTGTCACAGCTTACAAGTTCATAGCAGTAGTGGTCAATCTCTGGCCTGTGGAACATTTGACCTGTGAATCCATGTCATCTGGCCTGTGTGGCTTCCCAGAGCTCTGGAAGTTTGGTTGCAAGGGATTAGTGGTATTGTTAACTGCAGCTTCCTTGTAAAATTTCCAGACCTAGAGAGAGCCCCCATGCACTGGGGTTCTGCTTTCAGTTTCTGGTTATAAATTAGTAATTGCTTAGTGCCCAATGGTGTTAACAAGTAACCCAGTCTTCACTAATAGGATATGTATGAAGTTGTACTTAAGGGCACCATTCACATTTATGATTAAGGTGGAAAGCAAGAAAAGTGCAATTGTAGTGCAGCTACACTGTGACTAGTATCTCTTTTATGAAGTGCAGCTGGTTCTTAAACCAAAACCTAGATTTTTTTTGCGCAAGTTTAAGGCAAATAGTATCTAGAGCAAACTTTTTAAAAAGAAAAAGCTAACTATCCATGTGGCTTTAGTGTTTCTGCTGTCTGAATACATTCATCATTATAAACATTCATTGCTTTTTTTGATTCAAGTATACTTTTTTCAATATCTGAATGGAGGAAGCTAATATCTGAAGTTAATGAATCAGTCTTTCAACTAAACTATGTAAATATTGTTTATTGTATGTTGATTTATTTTTTATTTTAATAAACAAACACTTTAAATTGAAAATTTGCAGGAATCCAAGGGAAAAACTGCTGTTCTACCAGGGGCTTCCAGCTGTTACCCAGACAGGCACAAAATATGCACAAAATACAGGGTCTGGTCCTTGTTTGGAGTATTCATGTGCAAATCAAATTTCAACATAGCTTTCTTCTTATACTCATCTATTGCTGACAAGCAGTTGAGAAGCTAGAGATTTTTGCTGCCAAACATTTAGCAAAATGTGTAGTTAAGATGGTTTCCCAAGTTTTGGGAATGGTCCTGTGGCAGTGTGGTGGGAGGTAAAGATACATCCAAAGGGGAATGGAATAGAATGATACAAATAATATTTTTTGCCAAATCTTTAAGGTGGAAGTAGTATCTGCTAAGGCCTATTCTTTTTGTAAAGATCACTCCCTACAAAGCAGTAGGCTATCTTTACTTAATAATCCCAGTGTCTCCTTTCCTGTTCAAGGGATCAGCATCAAGTACTGTACTATTTCAACATAATTTGACAGAGAATTTTTTTTTTTTTTTTTTTTTTTTTTTTTACTTCACACTGAAACTTCTTGAACTGGAGAGCTTCATGGTAGTCACCTTTTAATTGCCTTTTAAGTCTTTTCTGGAGCTGGAGATTTCCAGTACAAAACCAAAATGAAAGGTTTAATTTAATTATGTTTAAAAGTACAGAATCTGATCCAGTGTCATTTACATATTTAAATAGTGCACCAGATTGTGCCAATGCAGTGTCAGCTACACAAGTAGACAAATTCAGCATTTGCTTTTGCTCTGACAAAATGGTGAGAAGAATAAGGAAAGTGAGAGACTGGGACTTCAAAGTGCAGGAACATTAGTCTAAGATCGTTGTAGAGTAAAGCTGCACCATCTACTGTTTCACAGTGTTGGTGACATCCTGACCTAGTATGGTTTTCCTCATATCCTCAAGTTTAATGTTTACTAACATTGCTAGACTGCATATTCCATCCAAGACTGCTAATGTTTAAGCTAGTATCCCCAGTCACCCTCTGAAACCAACTCTCTTGTACTATAAGCATATACCCTGTTCACCTGTAATCATTAAGCTGCTTCTGCTTGAAAACATCTTTCCATGCTTTTTAATGTAGTGGTTTGTTTGTTTTTTTTAATCCTACATTAACTTCCTGCTGTGTAACTGCCAGTAATTGATAAATATGTAGTTAGGGGCAAGGATAATTTTCCTGCCCCTTAATCCTACCCACATAATGTACAGTATATAACTGGACAGATGACCTATAGGCAGCCAAAAGGTCTTTTACTTTGGGTAGTAATAGACATTGCCAAATGAAGATCAGAGATGCTGGGTTTTGCCCACCAGTGGATCAGCTGGGATGGAACACAAGATACATTGCCTACTATCCACTCTTCATTTTGCAGAATAATGTTTTCCCCTGCTTTCAAGTGCATCCTTGGCAAGTTCTGGGAACAGGGAAAGCTGAGCAGATAATTTCCATGCAAAAATGGGATCTTTAAGCAGTAGGGGTTTCTGGGGCATAGAAGAACCAAACCCCAAGAGCAACTGCCTACCCAGAACAATTGGAGAACACAGGTAGCTCCAGATTGCCTGTGCTTGCCCACCATAAAGCAAATAGATGTCTGCCATGATAAAGCAGCACAGATTACTACCTTGTATCATAACCAGTGGCACAACAAAGCATATGGACATCTATTTGCTTTCATTTTGTACTATCAGAAAGTTTTTTATGGCAGTACAAAGTTAACTTCTGTGTTGATCCTACCTATCCACTCACTCTACCTGTAGACTATTTTTAAAGCAGTGGGTCTATCTTTGACACAGCTCCAACTCCTGTAGCTGGCTCTACCAAGATATTTAAGCAAATCAGCCAAACTAAACCATGTATAGGGCACTCTCTTCCTACTTCATCCCCATCCTCCAACTTCATCTAGGACCACTTATTCCATTACCTGACTGAAAAGTTTGAAGAACAATGGTTTATTTCACCATTTACTCAAGGTCTTCAGTAGTCTTAAATTTCTGCAGTCATATTTAAGAAATGCAAAAAACTCTAGGACTCTTGGTTTAGAGATGATACCTTTGATTAGACCAACTAAGACATGCAAAAAAGTCATCTTTCTTTGCAAGTCTTCAGGCCAAGGACAAATCCAAGATATTAAAAATCCTCTAAAGGTAGAAAATAAACTTCATTTTGCACCAGGGAACTTTGAAGCTGGAAGTCTGATCATTTGGGTCTGCAAGAGTCTTTGTAGCGAGTTTCTCCTTGATGTGCTGATAAGGCTGTTCTCATCCCTAGAGATTTTTTGAGCCTCCTTGCCTTCCTGACATGGTTTCCTCCTTGTTCAGCAATAATAAGCTTATGTTTCTAAAATACAGCATCCTCCAGGGCTGAGAACAGCCTTATCAATACATCAAGGAGCAACTCTCACAGACCCAGGGGAAACAGACTTCCAGCCTCAAAGTTCCTCTGTGCAAAATGAAGTTTATTTTCTACTTAAAAATTCTCTTAACATCTTGGATTTGTCCTCAGCCTGAAGAAGGGTGCATGTGCCAAAAAGCTTGTAAAGAAGATAATTTTTTTTGCATTTCTTAGTGGGTTGAATAAAAGGTATCATCTCTGAACCAGGAGTTCTAGAGTTTTGCATTTCTTTTTTGTCTCAGACCAACACAGCTAGCAAATACATCCCTGCAGTCTTATTTATGTATTTATTGCTAGTAAGCAGTGTTCAGGCTCTTCATCCCAAATTTTGATTAAGCATTTTATGCTTCAGATGCAGCTTGATTGTCATGTTTAAACTTATCAAGATCATCAGAAGTAAAATAAGGATTCTCATAAACCTGAAATTAAAGGACTTGACAGAACCCAAAGTTTTATTGTAAGAAAACAAATATACAAATACAAACAATTAAAAACAAATTATTTTACAAAAGCAAGGTAACTGCTATTGTAGCAGAGGCTCTTCAGGGATGTAGTGGCCCTTTGCTAGTCCATCTTTTGAATATACGCACGAGGTTTCAGTTTGCAATGGAGTTAAGTCACACCCAGTGTTGAGGTTAAGCATGGAAAAAGACTAATGCTTTAATTCAAATCGAGCAGTTGGTGAACAGTGAGAAAGCCAGCACCACTATTTATAAATCTTGAAGCAAAACAAGCTGTTTGATTTCATGAGATAGTCATTGTAAATGCCTTTTGAGCAGTTTGAGAGAGAGTAATAACAAGTAGAAGAGTGCCACACTAATCTCCTGCAGGGTACATGGAGTTCTGTAGTTTTTCCACAACACAGATATTTCCAAAGTCAAACAAGAATCCCAAGTTGGGGGTTGCCTTTACATATTCTCTTCAGTCAACTCTGCTCTTATTTTGTTGATAGGAACAAGAACTTTGTTCTTTACCAGCTTATCTTCCAAACTGCCTTAAAGTAAATTTTCATCCCCACAAGGCTCCTTTTCCACTGTTACTATCACCAGCTCAGAACTGCAGCAATTAGGCCTCGTCAGGTACACGCATTAAGAATTCAAGTCTTCATGTTATTCTTTTGTTTTATATGCTAATGCAACTTGTTTCTTTGAAGGACTGGGACACACTTCAAATTTCCCCACAGCTTTACTGATGGGTGTTTTAGAAGTACTGGCTACTGTTGACTTTAGGTTAGCAAGCAAACCTCTCTTTGGCTTATGGCGCTTAAGATCCTCTGACCATAACTGCTTTTTGGTCTCATCAAGTTCTTCTTGCAGAGAAGACACTGTAGTTTCAAGCTCAAGGACACGTTTAGCCCAGTTCTGAAGGCCTCTCATTTCTTGATCCTATAAAATTAAGACACCTCATTGGTTATACAAGTACTAAGGAGTTGTATCATCATCTCCTAGACTAAATCTAATTTGGTGAAAATAATTCTCCATAGTGTGAATCTACTGAATAGGCAGCTAAAAAATTAAAGGCTAAAGTGCCTTTAAAATTAAAGTTAAAGTGCTTTATAATGAATCCTGACAGTAAATCGAATCAGTTAGAAAGGAAAGCGCCCTAAATACCATGGCTGGCATACTACCAAGCTTCAACTTCCAATTATCAATATATGCCCTGACCCTAAAATAGGATTCAAAATACTATGCAAATAAACATTGGGATCTTTTTTCATGACCAAACACACTGCTCCTGTTTTAATGCTAAACCCAAAGTTGGAATCCTCTATGGTCACTAGTTATAGCAGACCTCTATTTAAGTTTAGACTAGAATAAGAAAGATCAGTGAGAGGACGGAGGAGCTCTTGTTTTCATGCAAGTGCTCTAAGTGATATAGGAAGAATGTTTTTCAATATGACATTAGCCAGTTTTCATTTGCATAACTTCCTGGGATGCAACTGGGCTATTCCATGGCCAATATTAAGTAACTACTGCATTCTGTCCAATTCTTCCACACTGAATCTCCAGCTGATGGCATCTGAAGCTAGACTACAGCTCTAATTGTTCATTTCACCCATAAGCCACACTTACAGTTTAGTCCTTTCTCCAGAACAGATGCCAAAAATTCTTATGTTTTGTTTACCAAAATGTGTGCATACAGGCAGCTTGCTTAACCTCAGACATTACTAATTTTGTGGTTTGCTAGGCATTTCTCAGAGCTCTTTCTAAATACATCTTTTATTGGCATTTGACAATTGATAATTTCTAATGAGATCTTACACATCCAGCAATACTCAAAACCAAGATCTATATTTCAGGTGTAGCAAGATTTAAGAGTCATTTTCCATATTCAGTTCCCTCCCAAATACTAGTCAAAATGTGGTCATACAGATTACCCGTCTGAAAAACAGAAAGCAATGCAAGATGTTTCAGTAGACTACAGACTGACCATACACAACTAGAAAGATCTTCAACAAGCAGCCAACTTAAGGACAAACATACTAAAAGCATCAAAGCATGCTTCATCTGCAAAAAGCTTGTTCAGAAATGATGTAATGCTTTTAATGATTACAAGTCAATTTAAAAGGTTGTGTTAGTATTTGACAAACCTTGAGCATCAACATGTGTTTCAGTGTACTGTTCTCTTCACTTGTTTTACTGCAGGCTTCATTAACTTCTTGCACATTTTCATTTAATTTCTGGATTTTAAACTTTAAAGATTTTATAAGCTGCAAAACATTAATGGTTAAAGAGATGTCTGAAAGATAATGAACTTCATGTGTAGTATGAACACACACAGAAAATGCTCTTGTACAGACAGTTTAAGCTCTTGCAAAATATTAGCAATGCATAGAAGCCAGGCCAAAAAGAGTGAAGTAGTTGCATACCGAATGAAATCTTACAAATGCACTTTTATCATCTTTGAAATACAACCCAAAATTTGTTGGGTCAAATTCACTGCTGGAGAAAGCAAGTGCAATTTCACTGAACCCAATAAAGTTGCATCCAGCCATACAAACAGAAAGAACAGTAAAAGCTAAGCTGCTGCTAGACTTACAAGATACTTTAAGCTAAGGACAGACATTCAAAAAGCCTGAGCCTCAATGGATTCAAGCTTTGCAGTTTAGTCTAACCTGGCTAGGCTAAACTAGTTTGTAACCAGACAGACATCCCCTCTAGACTGAAAAAAAAAAAAATGCAGGTATATGCCTGCAGTGGCTCAGGCTAGAAGCCAGGGGGTGCTAAAGCAGCCCTCCCTTCCCTTCCACAATACTGACCTGGGGGGGAGGGTGTAGCCAGGCCCCAGCAGGACACTCTGATTAGGGAAGGGTTCTCCCACCCCACCAGCCCAGCAGGGAATGGGTAACACGGTGCCTATCACCCCGTTAAGAAAACAATAGAGGGACATTACCAGCTACCTGTTGATTCTGCTTTTATCCCACTGCCCCAGCACAGACCATAGCCAGCATGTGGTCTGCTAGCTAATGCTGTGCATCTGTGTAAGGCAGAGGGGACCAGAGGGAATACCTGCTGTTGGGGGGAAGGGGGGGGCAGGAAGCAGAAGCCAGGCAGGTGCTTGCAGTCTCTGCTGGAGCTGCAGCCAGGGAGCAGAGGGGAGGGGCCAGCCCTGCTATGGAGTAGGAGCGCCCCACCCAGCCCAGAGAACATGCCGGGATGCGGGGGGTGTCCGATTTAACTTAAACTAGCAAGGGGTCTGGGACAGATATTGCAAAAACCAGTTTGACCCAAATCAGTTTAATCTGATACTACATTCAACCAGGTTTCTCTCAAACCAGTTTCAGCCGTTTTCAGACTGGTTTATATGCACTGAATAGCTGTTCTGTTACAGGTTTAAACCAGTGTGTGTGTGTGTGTGTGTGTGTGTGTGTGTGTG